CAGCAAATTCCTCACTTGCCAGGCAGACAATTTTATTGTCCAAAAGAACAGGGATTGAGAGGACAAGTTGTCTTCCTTACTCATCCACATTGATAGTACTCACCAATTGGAACTGATCCAGTGTGATCCTACTCACAGAGTCACTGGACACTTCATTGTCAACTTCTGCTACAATGACAGCATCGAAGTCAGCTTAGAATACTGTCTCCCTTCCCCACATAACCCAGTTTAAAGTTCCCCTGATCAGACTTTTGTGACTCTTGGCAAAAATGTTCCTGCCAACTAGTGTGAGGTGCAACCCCCCCATCCCTTGCCAGAAGTTCATCCACCTGAAAACACAGGGCATGGTCCAAGAAGCCAAATCCTTCTTAGTGGCACCATTTGCAAAGCCAATTATTCACCTCAGTTATTCTTCCCCCCCTTCTTGGACCATACCTTTCAACTGGGAGAAGAGATGAAATGACAACCTGTGCATCCTAGTCCTTCAGAGTCCTACCCAGATCTTCATAATCTTTTATGTTAGTCTGACAGCTATGCCTTGCAATGTCATTGGTACTCATGTGGACCAAAAAGAAGGGGTAACAGTCCTTGTCAAAGTCTTTTACATTGTAGAGTTTTGCCCATGGAGACAGCACATCTCCCAGGACATCTTGTCAGACCCACAAACCACTGGTTCTGTATCCCTTGCTAAGGAGTCCCCTTCCATCACCAACATGCCTCTTCCGAGGTTTAGCTGGGGCCATCCCACATGCTGAATCAACCAAGGTCTCCTGCATGTTCTTTGTGGACTGGCACTGCTGTTCTTCCTTTTCATCTCTGATAAGGGAGAGAACTCAAAATCGATTCTGTAACTTCAAGCTTGTAGAATGAACCCTGGTACTCCTACACCTATGTGTCACATTCCTCCAAGAGTTTACCTCCTCTCCAGAAACTTCTCCTGTAGGATCTCTATCCAAGACAGTCTGCTCTGCTCTGCTCTGCTCTGTCCAAGAAATCCCTTCCCTCCCCAATACACAGGAAAGTAGACACTATGTCTCAAGTTTCTGGACCTTCTCATCCAACAGGGCCACCAGCTTGCACTTGCTGCAGGTATAGCCACCTACATCCACCAACAAGGAGACAAACATACCACAGCTGTTGCAGGTGACTGCAGTAGGTCCCTCAACAACCATATTCAGCAGTCTTAGAGAAGGGACTGAAAACAGAACTCTGGTTCTCCCCCTCACATTTATCCCACAAAATGCCCATGCAAATGCCTGTTAGCCTTGCCTGTTAGCACAGCTTCTGTTCAATGTTTATTGAATTGACCATGTGCGCTGCAAAGTCTGCTGCTGGCCTCAAAAGACTGAACTCAGAGACATCAAGTATATATAGACCTGGTGGCTCTCCCCAATCTAGCCAGTGGCTCAACTGAGGCCCTGTCCCCTCAGATCATGTGCTCAGGAAAAAAAATCCAGTAATAAAAAGCTTAAGTCTCTTCCTATTTTACACAATTACGGCTTATCTTCTGGCAGGGAACAGAGCAATGACCAGTTTTCAGTGCTAGTGTTAGCTCTACTAATATGCGTCTTTTAGCATATGATATTCTTTTCTTCACCCCTGTGAAATTACAACCAGCTACAATGTTTGTAGAAAACAATTCTAAACAAGTCCAAGTAAACTTGAATCTGGACATCTAAAGACAAACTTCAAACATGATTTAGTAAGCTCTTGAAGGAGAGCTTTCACTTCAGCATCTTCCTTACTTAGCCTTTTGTAGGGTTTTATATTTTTCCTGTCCCACTAATAGAAACATAGTGAGGTAACACATTAAATTAGCAGTAAACTACTTGAAGGGTAACTCAAACAGCTATGTTAAAGAAATTGCCTTAAATGTAAAAAACACTGAAATTATTAGCCCAATCTAATGAAATCTTAAATTACTGTCAAGCTATCTGCCTTCTCTGAGGACACATAATAAACACCTCTAAATTAATGTACCTTCTTTTTTGGAAAGGCTACTTAAGTTCATGAAAAGTTGTTAGATGTTTTTAGAATAATTTGTTATCCATATGTTTTAAAAATAAGTTTTCAAACTGTCTTGTGCACAACATAAACTTTGAAATCTGTTTTCAAATTAATTCTCCACATATGAACTACACTGTGCAAGCATCTACTTATAATAACAATCCTTTTGGCATTCAATTCTGCAATTTCACATCTATTAGAAAAGTAATAATCCCCTTTCAGAAAATAATACTGATAACAGAAGAATAATCAAAACATCTATATATTCCAAGATACATATGGTGTACAGTAGATTTCAAACTAGCAGACAGTGAAGAACTAGTAGCACTGGTTTCTCTGTAAGTCATTTTCTGTATATTTTGGTCCACAGATTCAGCATTGTATTTAGATTAAAGAAGCAGATTGTTTGAATCTTCTCATTCAGTAATATTCTTTCAAAAGCGGTTCAGCTCTAAGCTGGTGAAGATCAACAGTAGGAATTGTGTCTTTATTCACAGGGAGCCAAAAATGTACCATCTCATTTTGGAGTAATTTATCCAATAAGATGATTTAGGGGACAGTTCAATGGCACCAGTTTTGGAAGGGAAAAGCAGAGGGAAGGAATATAAATCAAAGGTGACTGGCAGGTAAAGGATATATGCAGCAATCAGCCAAACCATGTGCACACTGGCACAAATTCAACAAGATCATTTATAAAAAATTTAAGTCAGGAATACACAAAAGGGGGTCTGGTGCTAACTAAATCCACAGATAGATTACACACCACTGAAATAAACACTTCCAGATGCTGGTGTACAAAAACCTTTCACAGAAAGAAATGTTTTCTTTCATAAATTTGAAGGGAGGAACTTTGGGTAAAGTGGAGAGGAAAACAAGGGCTCCATATACTGAGACCTGACTTCCTACTGCTTTTACAGAACTTGTTATTTTTTCCACATACAAAGAGTAACATACAAGAAAACAATATCCTGAAATAACAGGCCTAACCAGGTACATTTTAATGTAGTCATGTTTTAGCAGCCAAAAGAGTACCCAGGGATATTTTACAAATCACTTAAAACTGATGTGGTCCCATTGACTTCATATAGAATTCTCACTGATGTTCTCTTTAGCAAGAATGTTGTCCTGAAAGAAAATAGGTTTCCTGAGGATTCCCTCCTCCCAATTTATAGAGATGTTGCAAGTTTAGTGAGCAGTTAATAAATTATTGAAATTATATACAAGGTATCAGACTTTCCACCATTTAACTGAAAGCATTTAATAGTGTAGGAGGTTTCAGGAATGCTGTTTCAGCATTCAGGTTGCCTCAATCCAGCTTTGACTAATACCGTGCCTCATAGAATCATAGAACTGGAAGAGAACCCAAGGGCCATCCAGTCCAACTCCCCTGCCATGCAGGAATTCACAATCAAATTACCCCAACAGATGGCCATTCAGAGTCTGTTTAAATATATCCAAAGAAGAAGACTCCACCACACTCCGACAGATGTGTTCCACTGTCAAACAGCTCTTGCTGCCAGGAAGTTCTTCCTAATGTTGAAGTGGAATCTTTTCCCTGTAGTTTGAATCCATTGCTCTGGGTCCTATTCTCTGGAGCTGTAGAAAACAAACTTGTTCCATCTTCAGTATAATATCCTTTCAGATATTTAAACAGATATTTCTCTTCCCCAGGCTAAGTATAACCAGCTCCTTAAGTCTCTCCTCGTAGGGCATGGTTTCCAGGCCCTTCATCATTTTAGTCGCCCTCCTTTGGACATGCTCCAGCTTTTTTTAATATTCATCTTTTTTGACAAAACACCCCTTTTGAATTCTGGTGCCCAGAAGTGGACACAGTATTCAACGTGAGGTCTGACCAAAGCAGAATAGTGTAGTAGTATTACTTCCCCTGATCTAGACACTATGATTCCTATTGATGTAACCTAGAATCGCATTGGCTTTTTTAGCTGCTGCATCACACTGTTGATTCAGGTTCAACCTGTGGTCTACTCGGACTCCTAGATCCCCTTCACATGTACTCATGTACATGTATTAATGTCTCAACATTATTATGTTTCAGATTAATACACCTCACTTAAAAGATGTGATTCAGTTTGATATGCAAAGAATGCATGCATTGCTTAATATAGTTAAACACTGCAACACTTACCCCTAGGTGGTGAAGGAACAAGTCTTTTTTTTTTGGTCCATTTAAAGGGTATGCAGTTAAGTGCAACTTTTTTGCAGCCCTGATAACTGCATTAACATTGTATGAATCAAGCCTGCCAAGTTCACTGTCATAATATGGACGGCTAATAGGATACATAACCTAAAATGATCGACATTCAACAAAAGCCTCTGTTGCAGGCCCAAATCGCCAAAGGGAAGCAGAGATCGAGACCACTCAGGTTTTCTCAGTTTCCTTTCATACATTTTGTATATATTTTGGCTGTAAGAAAGCCAGCGACTTACCAGGAAAAATAGCAATAAAAGGAAGGATATGGCACACTGCCAGGAGAAAATCCAGCCATAACAAGAGGGAAGCCAAGGCTGTAGCTAGGAAAGGAGACATTGCTCAAGAAACAAGGCCATAAAATTAGCTAAGAGTAGAATAATGGCTGATGGCTGGACAGTCAGAGTTCCAATTGTCTAATAAGATGTGGAACAGTAGCTGACTTGCCACAAATGGAGCAAAGGAGGGGAAAGAATTCTTACTAGGCTCTTAATTCAACATGTAGAAAAAAATTATGGTCATGTCATTATAATACAGTGCCTTATCATAGCAATTTGCACTCTAAAATTCAAACGGCAAAACTTGACTATTAAGAAATGCACCAAGGAACATGGGGTTTACAACTGTTGTTGCTGAGTGCCTTCAAGTCATTTCTGTTGAGTCTAAGGTGAAGCTGTCACATAATTTTCTTGGCAAGATTTGTTTGGGGAAGGGGTGCTGTTTTTGCCTTCCTCTGAGGTTGAGAGAGAGTGTGACTTGCCCAAGGTCATCCCATGGGTTTCCATGGCTGAGTGGGGATTTGAACCCTGGTCTCCAAAGTCCTAGTGCAATGTCCAAACCACTATACCACACTGGCTCTCATTTAAATAATCTATATACTTATTTATATACTTTTGGATTATAGAAATATTTTATGGGGGATGGGCCACAGCTTAGTATCTGAGCACATACTTTACACATAAAGGCATTACTTTCAATTCCTGCCATCTCAAGTTAAAACTGGAATAACTCTGCCAGTCAGTGTCAATAATATGGGGCTAGATTGACCAGAGGTAGAAGATGTTCCTATGTGTATACATTATCAACTTTGGTTTACAATATGCCATGAAAATCAGTCTCTATTGCTCCATGGCAATGCCATATTTGCCATAGATAGATATGTCTCATCCCTCCATAATATGCTTCTATAGACCAAAATTCTATGTAAAGGTACTAGATATTATCGAGTGTGTTCCACTACACATAAAAAAGAGCACATCTTATCATCATCATCATCATCATCAAAAGCAATATTTATTTCCTATTAATTCAATTTTCTCGTAATGGTGATTCTCAATAATACTGATTCTCAATAATGAATCAGGTAAAGGTAAATTCTGAAGAACCCTTGCTGCACATACAATGTTCACCAAACTACAGCCAATGAAAACAACAGTGCAGGATTACAGTGTGTCTGGCTTTCCTTGCTATACCATTAAACTGTTTTTAAAATCTACCTGGTTTCAGGATTTTGGTGCAGCTGCAGCCCAAAACAGAAACAACAATAATAACAACAACAAAACCCAAGAACAAGCCAAATTAAAACTGACTAAACTCTGTAATGCACACTTACTGCATGCAACTTTCTTTGCTGGATTGCTATTTCTAATTTTCTTTTTGAAAATAGTAATCTAACTGAATTGATAGTAGGGGCAGAATATTTAAAATGCATGAATAAAGCAACAACACTGCATTTAATATTATGACTCTCAAAATAATTTGGAGTTTGCATTCTGGTCCTAGATCTTTCACAAAGGCATATTGAGTCCCAAATATTTTATCATTTTACATAGTCATGATTTGGGTAGAGTGCGGGCAGCTTTACATTGATCTCTGTGGTAGCTGCCTCCATATACCATGAAGACCTTTGTGTACCATGTCACCATGTGTTTAGCCTATTTCTGTCTTTTATTCTGAGCTCCAAGGAGAAAAGAACTCAACATGGATACAGAATATACACAAGCAGCTTTGCTTTGAGACAGAAAACACAGCCAACAACTTAATGCAGTTGCCAGGCAGTAGTTGTATTGTATGTGAAAATCCTTAGTTTTTCTATTCTGTGTTACATCCTGTATTAAATTGATATGAAATTTAAACTTGGGCAAAAGGCCAAGAAGGAAAATACTTTGCAAGTTCAGAAGTCTATATATTTCTTTAAAAACAATTTATATCCCATAGCATCAAGTTTTTCTCACCAGAGAATGCCAACTTATTTTTCATTTAGACGATTATTTTTCATTTAGTGAGAGACACTTTTTGGCCTACTGCCAGAACAACTTCACCTGAGGTGCTCAATAATCTCTCAGAAACTCACAGCCTGTCATATTTTTATGCTTCAGCATAAAACAACACTCGTTTTGAATGACTATATTGTCAGCACAAGTGGATTAATCTCAGACCAGCAGCATATATGAGAGCAAACCTGACAAAAATACTGGGACTGCAAATCATGCTATTATAAGAATGCTAGTTATAAAGTGTAATTCAGAACTGTGGCTGCAAACAAATTAATGATTTGTTCAGCCATCATTTCCCTCCTAAATGAATGAAGAGACCAAAAATAAATATCCACATTTCATAATCACTAAAGACAATGTTTTTTACTGGGAGAAATAATGAATTACTTGTTACTCATTATATTACTCTATGCACAATATGTGACCTATTACTTTTATATTACATTACTAACTGATGACTTTTATATTATTGGTTGATTCAAAGACATAGTCATGTCAGTCTTCACTCCATGTATCTGAGAAAGTAAATCAAAGTCCAAAACATATTGCAGAAATATCGATTAAGGATTAAGAAACTCTAAAAACTAGTATTGTCATTTGAATTGGAAGAAGAGGTGATCAAGCCCCAAATTATAAGATGGGCCAATCCCCATAAGTTTAGAACAATGGGAGAAATCTTGGATGAAAAGATTAAAATATAATTTAAATTACTATCTGAAAGAAAATTTTTATAAAATGTTATACAGGTGGCATCTCACCCCCTTTAAACTGGCAAAAATATATAAGAATGAGAAAAATAATTGTTGTAAATGCTAGAAAGAACTCAGTACATTCTACCCTATGTGGTGGAACTGTGCGTTCGCCAAGAGGTTTTGGGACAAAATTCACAAGACAATTTAAAAGATATTATCATTTAAATTAAAAAAAGATCCGGTGAGATATCTGTTAGGTATCAGTCAAGAGGAACATATTGAACGTGAATATGGCCCTCTTATTTTCTACATGACTACAGTGGCAAGAATAATCTATGCCTCGGTGGAAAGAGAAAAGACTACTGGAGATAAAGGTTTGGTTAATAAAGGTATATGACTTGATGGAAAGAGATAAATTGACCCAGCTAATACAGAAAAAAACCACTGGAAGACTTTGAGAACACATGGAAGCCCTTTACTGCATTTTTAAAGCAAGAATGGGTGCATTATTGGACATTAGGATTGGAAAATTAAGCAAGTACAGTATATCCCAGAGAGGACATTATTATTTTGTTAGATAATCCTCCCCTTGTTAAGGGGGTAATTATAAACAAATTATATCTATGAGGTTTAGAAGATTAAAGGTTATATATCAGTAGTATATGTAAAATTGACTGGTGTGTCCTTGATGTTTATACAATAAAGGTCAAATAAGGTTGAGGTGGATATTCCTGTAGTATGAGCACTGGAGTATACATGCTCTGTTGTTTCTATTTGGCCAGAGTCACAGGGGCATAGTCTGTCTGAAAAGGAGGTCTTCTTACATCAGCTTTCAAGAAAAGCTGAAGGGAGGGCATGGCATCATGCCAAAATAAAAGCTCTCCTGTCTTTAGGAACTTCAAGTTTTACCAAGTATGCCATAGGTGATGCTAAGTATCTGTTGGAATCACTAACAATATAAGTTGGGGTGCTAGCTAGGTCTAGCAGTCTCTCTATATCTATCACCCAGTGTTTGATGGTTGCTTTAGCATGGGGTAGGCAACCTTTCCCCTTTAAGGGCCGCGGGACTTCAGCTCCCAGAATCCGAGGAGCTATTGGCCAACATGGGACTATTGGCCAACATGGCTGAGGCTTCTGGGAGCTGAAGTCCCTCAGCCCTTAAAGAGGAAAGGTTGCCTACCCCTGCTTTAGCCTTTTCATATCCCATGCTGAACAAAAGATCTGGAGAGATGCCTCATGAAGAAATTCTAGTCATCATCGTCTGTTTCCATGTAGACTGGAATTCATCAGTCAGGGTAAGTGGACCAAGGCCGGTGGGGAAGAAGGTTAGTCTGATCCAGTAGCTAAGTATGGTCACCCACACTCTGGCCTCCATTTTCATAGAGCCTGACTCCAGTCTCTGAGTTGCATTAGAAACACATTGTGGAGCTTGGAATGCTGATCTTTTGGATTGCACACGTTCTAATGGAGGGGTCCCAGCTGGGATCCATAAAGCAGTTGTGCAACCAATTTGGTTTTTAAGAGTTTGAGTGCCACCAGGATATAATGGCCTCCTCTTGTCATTAAAGATTTGGGGATGGCTGTTGAGCTCCTCTGTGCATTACTGGCAGCATAGTCCCCATGTGCTTTCCTACTACCAGTACTGTGAAAGATTACCTGCAGATATTTGAAGCAGGAGACATGTTTGTTCTTGTGATCTTGTGATATTCCAATTTTAGTTCTTGGACCTTTTAGCAAATGCCATGATTTTAGTTTTTTGGTAGTTAAGTTCTAGCTGACCCTCTCTGCAATACTATGTTAAGTGTTCTTACTGCTCTTTTTAGACCAATAGGTGTTCCTGAAATTACTGCAGCATCATCTGCATAAAGCAGAGCTGAGATATGCCTTCCTCCTAGTTTTGGAGGATGGAAATTTGTGTTGTCAAGATGACTCACCATGTCATTGATGTAAAAGTTGAACAGGAGTGGAGCTAGAATGCAACCTTGCTTGACGCCCTTCTCAGTGGCAATGGCGTTGGTGAGATGACCCTGTGGATTGCACCTTACTTCGAATGAGGTCCCTTCATGCAGCATACAAATTAGGTATAGTAGATGCCAGTCAACCAAGGAAGTCTCCAGTTTTTCCCATAGTTTTGTTCTAGATACAGAGTCAAAAGCTGTTTTAAAGTTCATAAAAGCAACATAGAGAGAAACTATGTAGCAGGTGACATACTTTTCAATGAGGTGTTGGAGTACAAGGCACTGGTCTATGGAGGATCGGCCTTCCCTAAAGACAGTTTGCTCCTCTGCAAGTGTGTTTTCTTGTTCCAGCCAGTCCTTGAATTTCCACTGTGTCTTGTGTATAGCTTGCAGATCATATTGAGCAGACTAACTGATCTATAGTCATCAGGATCATTCTTCTTTCCTTTTTTAAATATGGGGATAATGATAGCAAGCCCCCAGTCCTTAGGTGCTTGGCCATAGTAGTCAATGCAGGTGAAGAGAGATGCTGAAACAGGGGCCCAAAATTCAAAATTATTTTTGATGGCTTCTGAAGGTATTAAATCTTCCCCTGGAGCCTTCCCCATTCTCAGTTGGTCTACAAGGTTCTTGATCTCTGCCTACGACACTGGTGCCCACCTTGGGAGATTCTCTACATTTGGCTTGCAGATCCACTTTCATCATAAGTGTCCTTATAAAGTGCTTGGAAGTATTCCTCTCAGATTCCTGGGAGGATGTGACAATCCACTGTAGCTGGTGCATTGCTTTGGGAGCTTGATGTAATCTAGTATGCCAGAATAAGTTGTGCCAAATTATTTTTCATGGCTTCTTTTTTCTTGTAGGTCAGTAGTTTTTTGTAACCTTTCTTCTGCTGAAGCAGCTTTGTTGCAACTTCTGGCATAGTATTGA